ATGTACGTTAATATGTAATACATTTAAATCAATTTAGATCAGTCTTAATGATGTGATTTTAAATAGCAGAAGCGGATAGAGGGTGGGGAATGGTGAAAAAAAAAAGAAAAAAAGAAAAATTGATCGCCCAAACGCATAAGGTTATTTTCGGGCGTCAGCAACTAAAGAACATAGGGCCTAGGCTATTTTATGATGTAGCTGGGCATGTATTTTATGGTGATAGATTAATATAAAGAAGTTTAACATTGTTCTGTGTATATTATTTGAATTTCTTCAATTTAAAACGAACGGCCCCTGATTTTCCTGTAATTTTTGCAGTATTTCAAATGAATATGTACCCACATAACTGTTTTCTAATCGGATTAAAATCTGGCCGAATTTTGGCCGATATTGAAAAAAGGTTTGGCCGAATTTGGCCGTGAGATGGCGTGTGTTTGGCCGTGAAGCCTCGTTTGTTTGGCCGTGAAGCCTGTCGACTATCTGGCAACCCTGAACAACACACCACATGCTTGCATTAAGGACATTTCATTCGTATTCCCTGCGAGGCTAGGCCCACCTATGTAATATTATTATTAATGACGATTAAAATGTTAGTAATGAATTCCAAAGCAGCAGTAGGTATTATAGCTGGAATTGCTGGTTCACTATTTTTGGGATATTGTGTATATTTTGATCGCAAAAGACGCAGTGCACCAGATTTTCGGGAGAAACTAAAAGAAAGTAAGCTGAAAGCAATGCCAATACAATAAAACGGATTGCATGGCATGGTTGCTTAGTCGGTTCAGTAGCATGCAGCCTGGACTAGCTAGGCCTAGGCCTAGTGTAGCGAGGCCTGGCCTGGCCTAGGCCTATGTACTAGAAAAAATAGTCCTGACCTAATAAATAGGCTAGGCCTATTACCACTCTTAGTACTACTAGTACTAATGTGGGCCTAGGCCTAGATTAGTAGTCCAGCCCAGGGCTTGCAGAATTAATGAAATATTTTGTTGCCCTTCGTTTGTCGGGCTGCAGGCCAAGCAAGGAGGTCCAGGTCTGAAATTTGTAAATATTGTATTTATCTTGTTTCATTTAAACATAGCTTTATGCCTACCTAATTTTAAAAGGAATATTCTATAAAAGTTTGTAAACGAATGTTTACACTACTAGGCCTAGGTATGCCTAGGGCAGTGTATAAAAATTAACATGTTAATGTTAAGAAGGTTATACATTTTGGGCTTATTCGACCGGTTCATTTCGTTGACTACTATTTTTCCTTGAGTATTATTTTCATTTGACTGGTTCGTAAAATAGACTTTGTTGACAACGAAAAAAAAGTTAAGTTATCCATGTGACTAAAACAAACATGGCCGATTGTTCATTTTAGCAACAATTTGCATTAACATTTTTGATTAAATTTCATTAAGTCAAAAAATAATTGTAAGCTAACAGAATTCAAAAACTGGATGAAAACATTTTATTTTCTCGAAAAACCCATGCTGTCACAAGCCGAAGCAACCTTGATTACGCAGCGTGTATTGTGGTAACAGCCATTTTTTCTTGTTGAGTATTTACCAGTTTTCTATTCGACTGGTCGTCTTCGTTAAGTAGGATTTTGCCACTGTGCTGGTGGGCGTGGTTTAACGAGGAACGCTCAGTCAGATACGGCCATTATTCTATCCACCATAACATTTTCATTGTACATCTGTAAAAAACAACATCGAAACTGAAAGTATTATTATAGAACCAGTGCCTGAAGGTCCAAGGGCAACTGAAATGTTAAACATTCGCCATTCAGCCCTAAATTTGTACCTAAATTAAAAATACATTTGCAGTTTAAAACTGAATTGGAGAATTCTTAATTACTGTAACAATATGATACAAAAATCAGACATAATAAGGAAAAAACATCAGGGCATATTATTCAAATTTCATACATTACATTGCACAAATCTGTTAATAACTGAATTTAACCCTAAAAAATATATTGGATAAATAATTTACTGTACGTTTGTACATTAGTTGATGGTTTATTTTCTTCTTTATGTTGTTGTTAAGCGCCTCGAGGTTGTGACAACGTTAGGCGCTATATAAATCCAGTATTATTATAATAAGCTGTATAATTTTGAGTTTCTTCTCACTTCTTTCGTGGCATTAAATATAGTGAACAAAAATAATATTAAATTTCATATTCAAAAGCTCAATCATGTTACATTTTGTTTTCTAGAGAGGGCAAAGTCGAAGTCAAAGCCAAGTAAAAATGCAGGACCCAGTCAGGTTAGCAACTTATACATTCCACTTTTTTTTATGATTATTTTGTAAGTGGTGACTATGCTACACCAGTCTTAAATGAACTGCTAATTCTGATTGGATGTTATTTTATGTATTTATGGATTGGATGAGGTTAAAATCCAGTAGATGTGGACACCAGATGATTTTTACAGATGATTTATAAAGTAGAATATTTTGAATATTTCAGATCCTCAATAGTAGTGGCCAGCCAATGCCACATAGGCATACGTTGCCCTAGAATTATGGAATTGAATCTATCTCTTCTATAAGAATTAAGAATGCATTGTTTGTTCATTAATAATCCAAAACCTGATTGATGACATTGTTTTTCCACAAATCAAAATAAGTTAAAAATGTATAAAAATTCATTTTTCATTTGAACCAGTCGAATTTGAATTTATGGTTGAAAAGATCAGGATTAAGTCGTGCGTGACAAAAAAAGTATACCATTGTAGTACAGTACTGTATGACAAATTTATCCTTATGCAATCCTTTAGGCAACAAAGTGATAAACACAGTACCTATAAGATGGTTTAATGAATTTTTGATGTTCGAACCAAATTAACCTCTCTATATTAACAGTGGAGAAAATCAGGAAAGCAATGCTAAAAATTCGATAATTTGGCAAAAAATTATCCATGTTTGCTGCTTGTACGGCATGAAATTGATTGCTTTGTGCTTACCTTTCAGTATTCTTGTCTGTGGCTTTGATGCTTTTAGGTAAATGTTCTTGGAAATGTTTAGTTTGTATTGGTCAATCAATAATAGTATAAAATAAATAGTCAGTTGATTTATTATTGTTAAAGTTTTTTATCTAGTTACCAGATTTGCAAAACCCAGATGCTGTACAGAAGTTTTTCCTTGAAGAAGTACAATTAGGAGAAGAATTACTTGCCCAAGGTAATTTCATTTATTATTTCACCATCATCGTCATCATTATTTTCACCACTACCATTTGTCATCATCACTACCACTGTTATTGTCTTCACCACCACCATTATCACAATTATCAGCATCGCTACCACCGTCATCACCACCACCACCACCATCACCACAATAATAAACATCATATTCACCACCACCATCATCACCTCCACAATCATCATCATGATAATTATCTCTACTACTACTCCGTATCATCATCATTATTTTCAATTCATTTCATTTTTATTGTTTTTGTAATTTAATGTGTTGGTAATACAGTGCACAAATTATATATAGTTAGCAAATAAATAAGGCGATGAAAAACAAAAAGATCAGAAAAACATTAGATTAAAAAAAATCTAAATAAAAAAAAAGGAAAATAATGTAAACACTGAAATTGATATACAAGCCAAAGAGAATGAGAAGCAGCAAAACCACTGTCATTCATTAGGATTTGCTGCTTTTGTAACGAAAAAGTTAGGGGAGGTGGGGTAGGAATCAGTTGCACAAAGCAGGGCAGGAAAAAGTGCACAAACATCACACACTTCCTCAGAGAACTTTTTAGAATATTTTTTTTAAGGCTTTCAAGACTGGTGAATAAATTGGGCTATATATAGTGTACTGAAGGAGTTGTATATTTCACCAATTTGGAATCCTGTAATCTTATGCCGTTGGTGGTGGTCAAGGTCACCCTTTATGGTTTAATGGTGGTGAAGAAATCCATGATGAGGAATACACTGCCCTTCACTTTATAACTATAAAAATGTCCATAAAGGTAGAGACACACTTAGGAATCAAAACAAGTAAATAAATGTCAATGTGTAAAACAATTTACAATGTCAAGGTGTATACCTTTGACCTGAGTCTGTTATCTAGTACTGTCTCTTTTTAGTTTAATTTCCTTCACATCCAAAACCAAGTTCATTCACCACTTTCAGTACTTTTTTAAAAAGTATTATTCTTAGTGAAGGTTAGAGATTGGAGCTGTTTTTAGTCTTAAAAAAAACCCTGCAGTAACAAAGTGTGTACACAGGATCTTTGGATTGAAAAGCAACCTTAACCACCAAGCTATTCAGGGGTGTCCCGAAAGCTCAGACCACGAAAGATAAGACCTAAGACCACGAGATATCAGACCCACTCGAAATATCAGACCCTGTAAATTAAGACCCTCAACTGAGGATGCCAGGATTTCTAGACGATAATACCTTTATTCGAAAGCTAACGTCAATATAAAGAACGGACTAATCATAAAATAAACACCATTAAGTATCATCAATAACAGCTAGGCCCCTATTTGCGCTGGTTAATGGAGAAAACAAATATAGTACAAACAAACCGACTATTCGCACTCCAAGGAACTGTACGGTACGGTTTCGGTACGTTTTCGATAGCAGTTTCTAATGCACATCTATTGTGCGAATACTGTATCCGATATTATGGTTCTCGATCGTTCACACACTTTATATTCTTAGGATAGTTTGTTCTTTTTACATTTACCTTACTCTTCTTTTTGTTTCATATTCGGTTTCAAAATATTATATAATAAAAAAGATAAAATTACTAAAAGCATAGAACATGAAACCATGGAGGAACCCTCCATGATGAAACCAGGACCAGTGGCAGATCCAACGAAGGGGGGGGGGTCATGAGGGCCCGTTCCTTTCCCCCCCCCCCCCAAGTCAGTCAAGCCGAAAATTTTGAGTTAAAGAGAGGAAAATTTGTACCCATGATTTCAGTGACGATCCAGCAGTGGAATGAAAGGATAGCTCGATTATTTCCCACTTATTTACACCAACCATGGTGGGGCTAAGGTGGGCGTGGCGGCGAGAACCTCATTTTGTGCACCCACCCACCCGATATCTCGTGGTCTTAGCATTTGTGGTCTGAGCTTTCGGGACACCCAGCTATTCAGCTTGTATTCTTTCATAAAGTAACATTTTAATAATCATACAGGAAGGTTAAAGCAAAACTAAATATATAAATTCCTATGTTTTTGTTTTTTTTGTTAATATTTGTAGGTGATTTTGACAATGGTGTTGATCATTTGAGCAATGCAGTCGCAGTTTGTGGCCAGCCACAACAACTGTTACAAGTCCTCCAACAGACACTTCCACCTCAAGTATTCCAGATGCTTATACAGAAACTACCAGGAACAAGTCAAGTATGTTTGCCATGTCTTGTTTTTTTTTTAGATAATGCTTTTTGTGTACAAGCTGAGCTTGCAACTTGACTCATCTGACATCCAGGGATGTAGCCAGTGAAAATTAAGGGTGGGTATTAAAATTTTAAGG